TGCAATTTTAGCACAAAATATCCACATGTCAAGTCAGTGTCTGCATGTCAGTCCTTTTCAATGCATTTTTTAAAATAGGAAAATAAGTGTCTATCAAATTGTCTGCCTGACAAGGTGTCTGCATGTGGGGGTCTCACTGTACAATTCTTATTCTGCTAGAAAACAATTGAATTAACGCTGGGATACCTAAATTATATCTAGCTAATGTTTGCAAGAAGTAAATTATGCCATCTTTGTGTTTGTGTTTTTTTTAATTGCCAACCTCTTGCAGAAATCGAATATTATTGGTGGTCTGTCAAAGAAAAATTTAATTGGCCAAAGATTTTTTGAGTTGTCAATAATTTTTGCAGATAACGTGGTTTCCAATACTTCTATCATTAGGAAAGCTTTCTTTTTTCAAAATGGATTGGGGCTGTAGTCAAGTGTGGTGGCTTGTTGGGGGGCGTTTTAATGGGACTTGACAGTGAGTTATTTCAAAATAATGTTGTAGAGTTGATACTACAGTATTAAAAAAAATTATAACCCAATGCCTAGCCAATGATTTCTCCAGCAATTGGTACGTGACAAATTGAGTACAGTACAGAGAAACTCGTTGTAAAGAGTTTTGCTTTACTCAGAATACATTAACTTATTTTTCCTTATCAAATACTTACCTAATTTAAGCTAATGCCTGCCAGAATGGAGTGAGCCAATATCCGTTTGACTAACCCCGAGGTAAAACGCAACTGCAGGATAGCATGTGTTCACAGGGATTCACTGTGGTGGTGACTGCTTCAACAAGGATTCCAACTAATTTCAATCAACTGTCCCATCAATTGTGTACCTCCTTTGAAGAAATCATTTGATGATTGAAAGAGAGATTTTGCAGAGAGAGAAAAACTAAACTGTCAGTTATTTCGCGCTGAGGAGTCAATAATTGATGCCTTGGACAGAAAAACTTCCGTTTTGGAGCACATAGAAAGTACACTTGAAATTTTGGGAATCTCCATAAACAGTTTGTCGTGCCATTACAAGAGGAGTCGAAAGAAGACGTTGCTGAAGACGTCGACGATGATGCGGAGCCGTCGACGGATCCGAACGCGTTTCCTGAAAATGAACGAAAAATGTATGAAAAGCTGTGCAGAAAAGCAGTCGGACTCAGTCCGAAAGTTGCAGCGAAACTCTACTGTCGTTACTTCCACAACCAAAACCCGTTCCTTCGGATCGGGCCTGTGAAAATGGAAGAGGCCTATTTGAAGCCTAGGATCGTTGTCTTCCATGAAATCATGTTCGACTCTGAGATCTCTGTGATCAAGGACTTGGCTGTGTCCAGGGTGAGCTGAAAAACTCGTTATCTGCCTGCATTCATATTTCTTGTGGGATTTTAAAATATAAAAAAGGAAATTTTAAATGAATTTATGTTCATTTTTGTACGTTCAACTACAGTGAGACCCCGAGATGTAGATGTAATTGGTGCATCAAAAGATCCCTAAGTTGACTCTCATTTTCCCTTAGACTTACATTATATTATTTTTAATTGGTGTGGAATGTACAAAATACTCACAATAATTCCATGAAAATAAAAATTGTCTCCCAATTTAAACTGAATCAATCAATATATTTCAACACAATATGGACATTTGGGGAATTGAATACTGATACAGTTCAACCTCTCTGAGTCAAATTTCTAGGGACCATGAAACAAATTTGAATTTAGGAGGTGTTCATTTTTTGATGTTTCCAGTTGAGAAATCAAACACTTCTATTGGGAGAAGTGAAAAATAAATGTGAGAAATCATAAATAAGGATATTCTGGGGTACAATCTTGCTGAACTTGGAGGCAGGGGTTCATTTGCTATACAGTAATCGTCTTTCAATTCCTTTCAAGACGCATCAAATTATTTGTTTTAATCATTTTATCTTTCGTATTTCAAGAAAATAATGACCAGAAGGCCTCAGAAAATTCGAATTACAGAGGTTTTTATAAAAAAAAAGACTGAGTTAGGGAGGTTTTTTATGCATTGATACGGAGGGAATTCAGACAGGGACTTGAAAAAAATTTAACTTAGGGAGGTTTGACTTATTGAGGTTCATCTGTACCTCTGTAGAGTACATAGAAATGTTGGCATTCTTTGTAAAAATAACATTCAAGTGAAAAAGAGAGAAGGAAGTCCCTCTTTGCTGGAGGTAATTTTTTTAAATTAGCTAAATGGATGGTAAATTGGTCAGAGAAATGCCCAAGAACTTTTCTTACATCATTTTTAGGTTTGGAAATATTTGTCTCTTGTAATTTGGCCTGAAAGGTATTTGCAATTTTATCACAAAATGTCCCTATGTCAAGTCACCGTCCTCATGTTGGGCCTTTTTTATTCCTTTTTTATGAGAAAATAAGTGTCCCTATGTCAAATTGTCTGCATGTGGGGGTCTCACTGTAGTTGAGTGTAGGTACTGTATTTTATATAATATCAAATTTTTAGTTGAGGAGAGCGACGGTCCAAGACTATGTGACCGGAGACTTGAAACCTGCCGAATACAGGATCAGCAAATCTGCTTGGTTGAAAACTGAGGAACATCCGCTTCTCCGTCGGTTTGTGAATCGGATTGGACAGGTAAGCCTTCGGATTGATTTAAAAAAACTGTATTTACCATATAAAATGAAGAGTTCACCCAAGAAAAAATTACGAAATAATTTCAATATTTTGGCACCAAAACTTTTTTACATTTTTTGTATGGCAATTATGCTTTATTCAATTTTGCATTCGGGCATATAAAAAACAACGCTTACGAATTTTTCTGTTGATCAATAAATTAAATTTAGAACACATTCGATNCCCAATTTATCACTTGTGCTTGTAACGCGGAGCAATTTTACTCCGTGTTGATGCTCGTCGCTCGTTGAACAAATTTCTCAGCTGTGCGCGAGGTCCTTCAGAAAGTTCATGGTTGTGTGTCCCTGGGTATGGTAGACTGAGTGCGCTCTATTTCGAGTCTACCTACAGTTGGCTTATGTAAGATTTGTCCGAGTCCTGCGCAAGATTTCATATTTCTGCACTTATTTATTGTTTGAAAACACAGAACCAATTAATTCAACATTTTAAAAATCCCAGGAATTCACAGAAATTATATTCAAAAACTGGAAGAAATAATTTTTGATTTTCAACCGTCGGAAAATTTTTAGCACAACGAAATTAGTGGAAAACTTTGGTCCTACGGGGAAAAGGTCCGATGCAATGTAAAAAAAAAAATTCGTGGTAATTTGAAAAAAAAATTCAGATGCCAGAAACATAATTCTAAATATTATGGTACCGTTTCGCATGCTTAGCAATGTTAGAAATTTATTTTACAGTAGAATATTTTTACAACTAAGCGTCTGAGACGTTGAAAATACATTACTTCATTTTATACAAAAATGTGTTGAAATCGAAATTGAAATAACATTTTGGCTATTGGACAGGGACAAAAAAATGAATTCGATGCAATTCATTATGACGAGATTTTTTTTTGTAGCGAGAATCTACTGGAATGTATTTCATGTGGCGCAGAACTGGGACAGTTGTGGTACTGTAGGATCTCGTTTCAACGGATCTCGGCAACGACAAAAAATCGATTTCAATAATGAATTCTTTTTTTTTAGGTCCCTGTACAATAGCTGGAATGTTATTTGATTTTGCTTATTGCGAATTTTGCGTTACAACGAAGCTATTTAACTGGTTCCAACAGCTTCGTTGTTACGAGATTTTCATAATCTCGTTACAACATATTGTACAACATATATTCGATTGAAACCAAGTCGTTTTTTATGTCCCTGCCCAATAGCCATGATATTGAAACAATTCTTTCATAACGAATGTTTCGTTACAATGAAGCTATTTAACTGGTTCCAATGGCTTCGTTCTAACGAGATTTTTATAATTTCGGTACAACGAATATTCGATTGATAGAAAATCCTTTCTTTAGGTCCCTGCCCAATAGCAATGATATTGAAACAGATCTTTCATAACGAATGTTTTCGTTACGACGAAGCTATTTAACGGGTTCCAATAGCTTCGTTCTAAAGAGATTTTCATAATTTCATTGCAACAAATATTCGATTGAAACAAAATCGTTTTTTAGGTCCCTGCCCAATAGCAATGATATTGAAACAATTCTTTCAAAACGAATGTTTCGTTACAACGAAGCTATTTTGCTGGTCCCTACGGCTTTGTTGTAACGAGATTTTGAAATGATGGAGAATAAACCCTGAGAATGTTTGGTCTGGTCTGGTCTGGTTCCCCGCGGTTCTTCAGCCCCTGTGTGTACGAGGGTTCTAACAAAAGTTCTCGGAATAGAAATGAAAATGGCGTATAATTGAGCAGAAAAACATTATTCTTTAGGGAAAAAATATTCTTTGGCAAGAAAAAAACCAACCTGGCCTTAATTGCCCCCTCAGTTGATGAAAATGGCGGAATTACCTCGGATAGACCTGGAGGCAACCCTTGGAATTAATTCCACGTTGATTTCAAAAATTCTGACGGGAAAGCTGGGCTATGTACTGTATAAACATAAAATGTAACTGCGGGAAGGGCGCCTCATCTTTTGAGTTGAGAGCGAAACTCTGCCGGGGTGAATTTTGCGAAACGTTAAAAAAAATTGTCAAACAGGGGTGATTTTTTTTTTGGTGCCTTTCCCTAACGAATAGCTCAATGATACGCCATTTTCATATCTATTCCGAGAACTTTTGTAAGAACCCTCGTATGTGTGTGTTTTTGTGTGGGTGGATGCGTGCGTATGTGTAGTGTTATTTGTCTATCTAGTGAGAGAGTGATTGAGCAGAGCTTGTTTTGACGACGACGACGACGAGACGCTCGCGGCATTATTTTAAATACTGCATATTGTTGAACATTTTTTTATGGTCTCGATGACGTGGAGTTTTGTTCTAAGCTTTTGAAATGTTGGTTGCAGATGAGCGA